ATGGAGGAGCCTGGTGGGCTGCAGTCCATGGGGTCGCTAAGAGTCAGACACGACTGAGCGACTTCACTTTCACTTTTCACTTTCATGCATTGGAGAAGGAAATGGCAACCCACTCCAGTGTTCTTGCCTGGAGAATCCCAGGGACGGGGGAGCCTGGTGGGCTGCCGTCTTTGGGGTTGCACAGCGTCAGACACAACTGAGGTGACTTAGCAGCAGCAGCAGCAGCAGATCATTGGAGAAGGAATAGTATCCTCAGTAACTAATGCTGAGACAATGTATATGTGAAAATCATACAATGTGCAAAACAACTCCAAGTGGACTGTGGATTCAAAGGGAAGAGGCAAAACAGCAAAGAGCAGGATAGCAATGGTCTTCCTTATCCAGATACAAAAAGCACTACCCTTAAGAAAACTAATGACAAAACGAATCCTTTGGTGTTAGAAGCCAGGACAATGTTTGGCTACGGTGGAGAGAAAGAGACTTCTGGAGTTCTGGAAGTTCTGTTTCTTGGTCAAGGTGCTAGTTGCAAGAATGTGTTCACTTTTTGATAATTAACTAAGCTGAACAGTTATGATTTGTGTACTTTTCTGCATACATGTTGTAGGTCAATGAGAAATTGCAATAAAAAAAACCAAGAACTCTTCTTTATCAAAGACACTATGGAGAAAGTAAAAAACAAGCTACTGAGTGGAAGATATTCATAGTACATGTGACTGGCAAAGGGCTCATATACAGAATATAAAAATAACTGCTAAGAGTTTCATTAAGAAAAAATCAGATAATGCAGTACAAAAAGGGGCAAGAGATTTAAATAGGCATTTAACAAAAGACCGACCAATAGACATATGAGAAAGTACAAAGATGCATTGATATTTCCCTTAGAACCATGATGAAATATTAATACTATCACCCAACGAATTAGGCTCATATGAAAGAGCAATTACACTAGGCATTGATAAGGACACAGAGCAACAGGAGGAACCTCATACATTGCCAGCGGTGGGTGCAAATTGGTACAATCACCTTAGAAGACATCATCCAGCAAAATGGAAGCTATGTAAACCTCGTGACCCATCTACAGAATAGGAAAATACATTATGGTATACTCTCAGAATGGAATGTTACATTTACAGTCAACGACATGGATGAATACACTTCATGAAAATTTCACCACTGCAGGTTGCATGGCTTGAATTTCCGCCATGGCCCTTCCTGTTCCTTGAGAGCTTCTTAGAAAGTCGGAGTTAATTTGAAAACTGAGTGAAGTTGAGACTCTTTCTCCTGTTGGTGGATGTGATCAGCATTTTGGTTTGAAAGCAGACCTGGTTTTTTCATGCTGAGCACTGTCTCTTGTGCAGCAGTAAGTGCCGTGCGGCAGGCATTAACCATCCACCTGGGGTGGGGTCGAGGCTGGACCAGGTCAGGGCTCTCCCTTCCACAAACCAGCATCAGCATCACCAGGCACTTAGAGGTGCAATTCGTGGGTCCTACCCTCAGCCTCCCGCCCCAGAGACGTCACAAGT